GACTGGAGCAGGGGCATGAGCTGCTGCTCTGATCCTTTGGGAAGGTTTCCTGGCCGCAGGTGGGTGCTGTGGTAAGGCTGAGGCCTCGGGTCCTGGTAGGTGTTTGCACAGCACCCTCTAGCTCTGATGCCGAGATGCGTTCCCCCACTCACTGACGTGCAGATCCTGAGTTCGGAGAGTGCACAGTGGGGATGCAGCTGCTGGCACAGAGCGGGTGTGTTTGTGCCACTCAGTGCCTCACCCTGGTGTCCTGCCACGGAATCACTGAATCGCCCAGGTTGGACCAGACCTTTAATATCATCGAGTCCAATCATCAACCTAACACTGACAAAAGTCCTTGACCAAACGATGTCTGCCCGACTCTTAAATCCCTCCAGGGATGAGGACTCCAGCCCTGCCCTGGGCAACCCCTTCCAATGCCTGACAACCCTTTCAGTGAAGAAATTCTTCCTAATATCCAATCTAAACTTCCCTTGGCATGACTTGAGGCCATTTCGTCTTGTCCTTGTTACTTGGGAGAAGAGACCAACCCCACCTGGCTACAACCTGTCAGAGGGTTGCAGAGAGCAATGAGATCTCCCCTCAGGCTCCTCTCTCCAGGCTGAACAGCCCCAGGCCCCTCAGCCGCTCCCCATCAGACTTGTTCTCCAGACCCTTCCCCAGCTCCGCTGCCCTTCTCTGGACACGCTCCAGCCCATGTGTCCTTCTTGTCATGAGGGGCCCAGAACTGAACACAGGACTCAAAATACCAAGGGCTCTTTTTTCTGGTACAAACCCAAACTTGCAGTTACCCAAATAATGCAGTGCTAGGATCTGGTTGTTTGGTGTGGGGGGATACACAGAAATATGTATTTTTCTAGAACCCTAGCTGTGATTCTGTAGTGGCCATGGTTCATAAAATCCACTCTGCTGCACAGCCCTGAAACTCAGAGCCTGGAAGGTGCATGGTAGCTGAATATCTTGCTCCAAAAACTGCTCCCACCAGCCAGATTTCTTTGAGCTCTTTCCAGCATGAGGCAGGTGTGACTGCAGGTGGCTGGGGCTGTCAGGCCCTGCCTTTCATTCAGCCCAGTGACACGGCTGTGGGGTCACTGGTGTCCTAGATGGATGTTAATTTTCCCATAGGAATGTTTCATCAGCTTGCTTGACAGCACTTCCTCTCTTTAGTTGTTCTCTTGGATGGTGTTGGCCTTGTTAGAGGATATAAGCTTGTGCAATGCAGGCACTGTAAAACCAGAAAATTAATCTGACTTTGTTTTTTTTAACTCTTGGTTGAAGGGGATCTTATTCCCAGGCACCAGCAAGTGTTCAGCACCAACCAGTTCTTCAGCGGGGTAAGAATTCCAGACCCAGAGAGCATGGTAAGAGCTCCCCCCAGCCACGCTTCCCTTGAGCCTAGCGTTAACCAGAGTTCTGCCTGCAGTGCTGAGGAGACACAGTGATCAGAGAGAGAAATGTTCCTGTTTCTTTTTACCCCGAGTACTCATGCTGTCTGCTTGGAAAAGCCTCACTCGCTCAACTTAACCCGTCCTTTTGCTGCACAGCGCTTTTTTCCCCTATCCAAAAGCTTTGCCCTCTACTTTGCCAGTGTGCACTAGAATATTATTTGGGGTTGGCTGATGACGTTTTACTCTCATGGACGCTTTGCCTGTGTGAATGCAGTCACACAAATGGCTTGCTAATACAAGTACACACACATGTGGGTTTTTTTCCCTCCAGGAGCCATTAGAAATGAAGTTCCCTAATATTTCATACTCTGCTTTGGCTCTGATGAAGGTAAGAAAAATGCAGGTAATGGAGGAGCTCTGCACTGAGCAAATGCAGCATGTTTTACTTACCAGCTGATAAATGGTTGGAGAGTTGGCTACTGAATTATGAGATTCATTAAAAAAAAGAGCTGGAGGGGATTGAGTGAGGACTTTTAATCCACTCCTCTCTGATCCACTCAGCTTTACCATGGAGGCAGAAAACATAGTAATTCTCTTATTAAGGGGCAGTGAATGGAAACAGTGAGGGCGGAGATATTAAAAAGAAGGTGCAGCCATGGATAGTATTGGCTGCGTCAAACGCCAGCACAATGCAGCCAGTGCCAGAGTGGATTCTCCTGTTTAAGCAATCTGTTCTAGGGGAAATGAAAGTTATGGGGTTACCTGTTTTTCTGAGGCTCGGTGTTACTGCACCCTTGTTACTGCCCCTTTAGCTGCAATTTCTATTAGTGCCTTCGGAAGCTGTTCAGCATTAGTTGCTTCGCAAGCTTCATGCTAATTCTGAAAAGCCAGACTCTTAGAATCCATTAAAAAAAAAAAAAGATTAACATGTGTATCCATGCAAGTACTCGCTGGCCGCAGCAAGTAGCTGGAATTGTGCAGGCCTGTTTAATGAGTGTTTTATGTGATCCTTTACTTCTTTTCTAAGGGTTGCCTTCGCATGGACCCTGCAGAGAGGCAGACCTGTGAGCAGCTCCTGCAGCATCCCTACTTTGACAGCATCAGAGAGGCAGCGAATCTGGGGAAAGAACATGAAAAAACGGCTCGGAAACCAGCCAGGCTGGCTCGGAAGCACATGCCAGAGGTAACATTTTCATAGTATTTAATGCTCTGTGCCTAAGGATGGGACTGGTTCTTGTTTGGCTCCTGGGAGGTGGACTTATGCAGGCAGTTAACGGTAAGAGAGAGCTCCTGCGTTGGACTGATCTTAATTTTTTCCTGAGGAGAAAATAAACCTCCTGGCTAAGAAGTAACTTGGTAGAAACTGAATTCTGCTTCACAGCTCCATTGAGAGGCTGCGGATGAGCAGCACAGTGATGTGAGAGGTGGGGTTTACCCAGGAACATGCATTCCTGATGGAGGGCAGCCAAACAAACTGGATGGGCTTGCGTGGCTGGTTTAATTAAGAGTTCTCTGGGATCTTTCTGGTGCTTCTGAATCCCAATTTATGGTGAAAACACCCAGTTCTGTGTGTAACAGGTGAGATGTGAGCCCTCACTCAGTTCCAGGCATTATGCAATGCCCTGGTTGATTTTGCCCCAGCAGTCGCCAAGTGTCTCCCTCCCGTTCTGGTCTTCCCAGGCTCCAGCCTCGCTCTCCCAATCCAGCCTCACAATGAGAGTCACCCAGCAGCTCTTTCTCAGCAGCTCAGCCTGTGAGGTGCATTCCCTGTGACAGCTCTAACACTGACCTGGTAACAGGCAGGGAAGGCAGAGGTGTAGGATAGAAAACTGCTCCGGCCTATAAATTCCTTGATCAAACTGATTTGCCTCCTCCATTTCTATGACATAGGACATAACAGTAATATTTCTCTTGCCCTGGATGACTGGAAGAAACATTTTTGATGAGTTGTAGAATCCCAGATCCATGACCATTCATTTGAAAAGCACAGGATTACAGTATGAGTTTTATAGCTTCTACTCCTTTTTGAAAAAAATAAATGCATGCTTTGCTCTTGCTTCAAATACACACACTGTCGCTTCTCTTTTAGTTACAGCACCTGCCTCAGTTGACCAGCAGTAACGTCCTGCCAGCTTTGGAGGGCAAGAAGTGCTGCTGCAAAACGAGGAAATCAAACTACCATTTCCCTAACATCTAACCGGGCGGCAGGTTGAAAACTATTTATTGGTCAAAGTTCAAGTCTTTCAGAATGTGTAAAAAGAGGATACCTGGTGGAAAACTAACTTAATATGGAAGTGGTCTGCAGTGTACTCTGGGTCGCTGAGGGGAGGAAATTGATGCACAGGGAGAACTCAAAGCTTGCATTAGTCAGTGTACAAAAGAAGATACATTTATTTGGTTGTGTACTGGTTCATGATTGTACACCGGTCCAAGATTACTGCAACCCTGTGTTTACAGCGTGAATTTAAAAAACTCTCACCCATCCATCACTTGCATTTCAGACTTGGTAGAAGAGCTGCAACCTTGCCAAACAAATCAGAGTCCCACTCAGTCAAAACAGCGATGCTGCTTCACACTGGGACTGGGTCACCAGTCCCGTCGGGGACCGTAACCGTGTTGCCGACGTGAGGTGTTTTCGGGGCCAGGCCTGAGGCTGCTAGACCTCTCTCATTAGCCTAACCCTGCTTTAAACCTAGGGTTAGCCTAACCCTGCTTTAAAGCTAGGTCTGCCTTATGTGCTGCATTTATAGATCACAAAGTATTACAAATACTGGTAGTGACTTTGACTCCATGGAAAGCTCGGCAGGCACTGCGACCAGGAGGAGAATGTTTTAATAATGAAACCTGAGTCTTTTCGGTGTTTCTCCTTCCTGTTTCTTCCCTGTGTTAGGAGGTTGGTTTTATTTGCTGTTTCTGTCAATGTTTCTGTTACCAACTGTAGCACGCTGCAGAAACAGTTTTTATCAAAAATAATTCATGACTATATAACATTGGCCAGACACAGGCAGAAATTCTACCTACGTATATGTATTAGAACAATTCTTGGGTTTTGTGTAATCTCAAGATGTAACATTGTGTTGATTTTGCATAAAAGAAATGTAATACTTCGTATTACAAGTGGAGCCGCTGCCTTCTGCTTTTCTTTCCCCAACTACCAAAGCCAGAAATTTGACTAAAAATGCTAGGTTCTTCCTGAGAAGGAATCATTCTCTTCTGATCGCTCCATTTAAAACAAACATGGGTTACATGAGTCGAAGCGTGAGGAACAGGAAAAAAGGCCCATAAGCCATTTTACTGAATTGACACCCACTGACTGGGAGCGATTCTCGGAGAGCAGACGGCTCATTCCCACAGCACCAACAATATGCACTACAGGCGTACGGCGCTGCTGTACAACACTGACATTCTTCCCACTGTCATTTCACACGAGAATTCCTGTACAATAAAATGCATGGAAACTTCTAACTGATATCATAACAGCTTCCTGTAAAAACATGAATAAAAAAACAAAGACTGTGCGCAGAAACCTACCTTCTCTGTTGCTGATTCACGTATAGTTTAAGCTTCATTAAACTTAATTTTGTAAAAGATTGCACACGGGTTTTAAGGCTGGACTGGGAGATCCAGGCTTATATCCATGCCTGGAAATACAGCTGCATCTACGATTTAATTTATGCACCGTATTATGAATACTGTGGCATCAAATACACTTCAGTCACGTGCAGTTGTGTTTATTCTAAATCCAGCTCCAGCTCGAGGTTTGGCAGTGCCTGACGAAGAACTTGGACAGTGGTTTCTTTCTCTCTTATCCCAGGAAGGTCACTCAGATACAAATATTCAAGGTTCCTATAAATATTAAAAAAGAAAAGTCAGCAACTGTAGTTTAACAGTTGACGTAGAAATTAGACAAAGGATTATTCTATGTAGTTATTTTGAGTATTTTAAAAGGCTACTAGTTCTAATGGCTAAATAAAGCACCTCCAGATGTGCTTCAGAGCTACCAGAGCGCACAGTATCCAACCCATATTGCTTCCCGCATGCCAGAAAACATAGCTCTGCCCTAAGACCTTTCAGGCCACAGTGAGAATATCACTGACACACAGGATACAACATGAGGCATAGAAAGACTTAATAGAAGTTACGCGGCATGGAAAAGCAGTGGTGGCAGGGGAGTCAGGAGTAGAAGGTCGCTAATTACTTATACTCAAGGAAAACCCACCTTGTCTGCCAACACGAAAGGCAGCTGTTCCCATTCACTGCTCTTGCAAAGGTTGTGCATCAGCAGAGAGCACAGGCCCTGCTCTAGTTCGCACAACCGTCAGCACCGTGTACGTTACTTCAAGCATAATCGGGAGATGCTGTGCTCAACTCGGAGGACAGAAGCGCAGCTACAGATTCAGGTACTGCAGGGGATGATTCTGGTGTCCTCAGCTGCAGGCCTCAGTGCTCTGCATCTCCCCAACAACAGCCTTAAAAGGCTGGTTAATATGTGGACATTAATCCACAGGTCTTTCCAGAGCTACCCACCACACTGCCTTCAACCACACTTGAAGAAACATTCGTGCAGTGGCCGCGCCATCCCTCCCAGCCTGTCTTGTCACTCAGGGCAGTCCCCAAACACCCACGGCCCTGTGCACTCTGAAACAAGCCCGAGACGTTCACGCTTTGGCCCTTCCAGCCACTGTGGGGACGAGTGGAGCAAGGAGAGCCAAGCCACAAGGAAAGCCAAGCCACTCACGTACGTCAGCTTGTGAAGGGCAATAATGCCTTTATCCGTGACGTTCCCACAGGAAATGATCTGCAGCTGGAGGAGGCTCTTCTGGAGATTCTTCGTCTCGCTGAGCCTCTGCAGGCACTCGTCCTGTATGTAAATACACTTCTGCAGCTTGATTTCTGTAACGTGTTCCAGACCATCTAGAAAGAGCAAAATGAGCATTTGCTTCAGAGTTGTTAAGTTCTCAGGTTTAGGAACTGCCTCCAAAACCACAGACCAACACGCTCATTTGTACAGTGGGGCTGTAACGTACAATCAATCTCCAAAGTTACTTTGTGGCACTTCAAATTTATGAAAGCCGCGGGGCCTGTACTGTGCTGGCAAGGTTCTAAAAACTCTGACATGGGCAAATAACAAAAAAACTCAACAAGTTTGGGTGACGACAGACAATGACTCAAACTTAGGAACATACTAATGCAGGAAATTCAAGGAAGGACCCCATGCCAACAGACAAATGAAATGGTCTGTTGCCCATTTTTGTATTTAAAGGAGACCTGAAACAATCTCTTAGTTTGTATGAAACTGACAGCTTCCTTTTTTTTTGTCATTGAAGACATCATAAACGCCTGGAGAATCACAGAATGTCAGGGGTTGGAAGGGACCTCAAAAGATCATCTAGTCCAGCCCCCCCACCAGAGCAGGATCACCTGAACAAGCAGTATTACGTATTTGCAGACAGCAAAATCATCACTTGGTTTAGAAGAAAAAGGATATTTCAACTAGTGCTTCTTGCTACCAGCTACTAACCATAACCTCAATGAAACAGCAAATCTTTGTCACGCTTCCTTAGTGTTCCTGTCACTTCAGGCAAGGGTTGATCATGTTCCAAATCTATTTCTGCTTCACACCACACCTCCAGCAAAATCTTAGGGAATGCTCAGAATTTGTAGAGCCATTTTAAGAGAAAGAAAAAAATCAAAAGATTTTGCTTTATCTTAGTAGGGAACATGCAAATAACACGGTTATTCATATTTTGATGCAACCGAAAGACTATGCGGTATAAGGTTTGCACAGCTCTGTCTACATTACCCAGATAGTCAAATCCTCTGTACATGATGCAGGAGTCAGTGGCGTTGATTGCTTCTATCTTGTATTTCCCCAAGGGCCCCGTTGGGAGACCGTTGTAGTCCTGCTGCCACTTCTGGTAGCCTTGATAGCGCACCAGGGCACCGCACCGCAACAGCCATTCGGAAGCCGCTCTGTCAGGGCCAACAGCCTGTATCCGTTCGTAGTCCACTCTGCCAAGACAGAAAGAGCATTCACACGGTTTCTGTAAATTGGCAGATTTATTGACTTGACGATAACAATACTGCACAAGTATTTGGTTATGTGTGTGATAAGATGTCAGAGAAGTAAGATTACAATTTACTGGAAGTGGTTTATATAGAATTATTTGGATTGCCATGGTTCTTAATCAGCCTGGTGTAAGGATTTTCTTAAGCATGTTTTAAATGGCCACTGCTTTTAGTAGAAAAAGGAAAGAATACACAAGCAATTTGACTTGGCATTGTGTTAAACCTTCTAATTGACCAATTCCTTCCATGTCTGTGAGGAGAGAGAAAAAAACCGACCTTTCTCTATCCACAATAAGGCTTTAGAACAATTGCAAATTTGTCTCCCAAACATATTTTCCTTGTATAAAAACCTCTCATTGTCCATCACATGTATGTAATTCCTGAACAATTGTACGTCATTTCCCTCAACAATAATTTTTTTTTTTTCAAAGACACTCTTAAGCAATTAGTTAAAATCTTTGGGACCATTCAGGAAAAGGCTATTTGTCTCTGGTGAGAAGTACTGAAGGCAGAAGCAGAGACCTGAGGTGAAGACGCTCCTGTCAGGTTGAGCAGTCAGCTACACCCCACAACTCTTCCCACTGAGCTAGAAGGCGTAAGGCAAAGCTATTAACTGCTGCCAAAAGCTATAAGCAGAGAGTGTTTCACAGAGAAAAGCTGTATCTTTCTGAAAGCAACGGTGAAACTCGAGTGGCTGAATCACATTGTACACGATGAGCTGGTTTGATGCTTTTCTGAGTGAGTAAAGGGCGCGTGGTCGTGCTGCTGATATAAATTTGAGGATCAAAGGAAAATCGGTATTCTGGGAGAGAATCCACACTGACGGTTTGCCTGGGCCAGCCCTGGGAGAGGAGCAAAGCGCACCCCTGCCTCGGGAAGGCCGCAGCTTCGAACTGCCAACGGGCGAGGAACAAGCCCGGCTGAGCATCCACATGCAATCTGGGGCAAAAGAGCGCTGATAACAGAAAACATTCTCCCAGGACTTAATTCTGTCCGCTTCGCCAAGCGGGTCGGGTAGGTGGCCCCGTTCCCTGCCTTGGCCTCACCGAGCCGCTCTTACTTGTTGAACACGGCGTTGAGCCAGCCCCAGAAGCGTCTGCGGGCGCCCGGCGCTGCCCGGCTGAGGCCGCACACCGGCTGCGCGACTCTGCCCACCAGCACCATGCCCTTGAAGAAAAGGAGACAGAGGGGAAACGGAGAGGTTAAGCCGGAATGCGAGCCTC